TCCTCCTCCTCCTCCTCCTCCTCCTCCTCCTCCTCCTCCTCCTCCTCCCTCCTCGGGTAATTGCCTGATCGTGCGGTGCGTCGGGGAAGGCTGGCCTGTACGGGGTGCGCCGCCGGCGCCGCCCGTGGCGGCGCCCGCTGCTCGTGTGCCCCAAGTGCTGCTGCAGGCCTCGGAGCGCCCTGCTGCCGCAGCCCGAGCTGCCTGCGCACTGGTGAGCACGTCCCTGGCCACGGTGCGCAGCGTCCCCAGACCCCCTCGAGTAATGAAAAAATCACAACGGAAGGTTTTTCCTACTTTTCGGCCTCTGTGGGCCCTCACCAGGCTTCGGGAGCGTTAAAAAACGACTCAGGATGCAAAGCCGGTCATGGGGAAAGGGTCGGGACCACTGGAGGTCGACGTAATGAAAAAATCATTACGTCGGGGGTCTGGGTCCTGGCCACGGCTCTCCTTCCACGCCCACGCCGCGCCGTCGGCTGGCCACGGCGCGCGTCTTCCTGGCCCGGGGGAGCGCCTGCGTGGACGAAGCAAGAACATGCCAGGCCAGGGTGGGCTTCCTCCCGGCCCGCGTGAGGGACCACCCTGGGGAAGGTGAGAGTCCGCCCGGCCATGCTACCGTACGTTACCGGCCACACCATGCAGTTGTTCTGGCTCTGGTCGGGACGATCGAGAGGGGCACGGAAAGAATGGGTACAATGCCTAACAACGGTCCCTGTTCGCTTTGCACAGGACTCGCGGTCCGCGCCGCCGCGGGCGTTGTTCTCTGAAGACACAAAGTTGCCTGCCCAACAGCGACCGCTGTGGGTTTTGGACAACATTTGTTGTTCGGCATTGTACCCATTTTGTTCCGTACCCTTTCGGGCGTCCAAATTTGGTGTTTTTCTTGATCAAGTGGAGTGTGCACCCGACCTCGCCGAGCAGCTCGTTGTTCGTGGTTGCCTTGTTCCTTGCGAGCTACACGTGCCTTGCCAGGGTCAGGTACATCGTGGGCTCCCTGAACTCTTACGCAAGCATCATGTACCTTGCGAGCTAAACGCGCCTCCTCCGCTAACTGCCCCTTGTCAGCGTCAGCTTGCTCGCGAACATCCTGCTCGCACCGCAGCTGAGTCGCGGCCCGCGCCACAGCCAGCACTGAAGCGACCTGCGCTACTGTCCAGCCTTGCTCCCTGGGGTCGGGCCTCAACCCCTCCCTGGGCGAGCATGTCAGGGTCAAAAGCAAACGGCCGAATCAATCCAACTGCCGCACTGCCGCTGTCGTTGCCGATCACAGACTTTCCTCCGCCAGCCTCGCGCCCGAGGCCCCGCCGGTTCTGCGGGCCCGCGCGCGGCAGCTGCGGCGCCCCTCGCGTGCCCCTTGAGAGGGGGCCATTCTTCAGCGCTGCCGCTCTTCGGTCTTATCCGTAAACTGTCCCGCGCACCTTTTTCCCTGCTCGTGCCTGAGCTGGGTCTCACCCTTCGGCTGATGTTCAGCAGTCTCTTGCAATTTGTACTACGTAGCGCACGCGTTCTGTTTGTGTGTGATGTGCTTGGCGAGTTGTGTCTTGTGTGTGCTCTGTGCTCTGTGCTCTGTGTTCTGTGTTCTGTGTTCTGTGTGTGTCTGCGTGCGTGCATGCGTGCGGGCGGGCGTGCGTGCCTGCGTGTGTGTGCGTGTGCGTGCGTGTGCATGTGCGTGTGTGCGTGTGTGTGGCCGCTGAGTGTTGCGCCACCTCCCCCGGGCCGCCCGCCTTACTCGTCGCCCCACGTGCTGCCCCCCGCTTCCTCGTGGCGGCCTGGGCTCGCGCCGGGCCGCGCGCCGCCGCCTGCGGCCCCCCTCGGGCGGCGTTTTCGCCCGCTCGCGCCCCCCGCTCCCCCGCCACGCGCTCCCCCGCTCGCGCCCCCCGCGGCTCCGCCGCTCGCCCCGCTCGGCCTCGCGCCGCCCCCCCCGTGCAGAGCCCCCCCCCCCCCCGCGCGCGCCGCGCCCGCTCCCTCGCCGGCCCGCCGCTGCCCTCCGGCGCCGCCCGCCCGGCGGCGGCCGCCGCCTCCCACCAGCCAGCGCCCCTGCGCCCGCCGGCGGCCTGCCACGCCGCCCCCGCCAAGAGACATCCTGCTTGCCTCCAGGGCGCCCTGGGTTGCCTGGACTTCGATGGCGCTGCCATGGAAAAAGCGCGGCCTTCCCACGCCCAAGATCGAGGGACGCCCTGGGGCCTCAGGCTTTTTGTTCGTTGCTGTGGAGGTTTTCTCGTGGTCGGGCGGGCCCCTACTGCACACAGCTAGCCGCTGCCTCGCCGCGCGGCGCCGCTCGCTGGGCGGCGCCCGCCGCCCGCCGCCCGCCGCCGGCGCCGCCGGCGCCGCCCGCCGTCTCGCTGCGCTGCCGTGCCCCGCCAGGCGCCCCGTGAGGCGGGCGGGTCGGGCGGCCTCCCTCTTGCGTGCTCTGCTCTGCTCGGCAAGGTGGCGTAAGTGGTGGATCCTTGCGAGGGCGACGTGCACGTTCGAGAGTACGGCTGGCCTTTTCGGCGGCCGACGCACGGGCGGCGCACGGGCGACGAATGCGCGACGCACCTCCTGTCGCGAATGGGGGGGGTCAGCACGCCGGTCGCTGTACTGGGCCTTAACATGCGCCACCCACCGGTTTGCCTCTCGGGACGAGCACGCAAGACAGCGAAGCCGAGCGTCGCATCATCCTTAGCTCTGCTCGGCGTTGGCCCGCGGGGGGCAGCTGCCGAAGGTTGGAGCGGCGTTCTCGCCCCGCTCGCGACGCTCACAAGTTCCAGGCCTCCCCGATGGGGTCCGAGCAACTGGGGTCGGAGGAGGATCGCGCCGCGTCGCCGATGCCTCACCGACGCGGATCGTTGCGGAGCCCGATTTGTTCTCCACGCCAACGGCGCCGATGCATCGCCGACGTCGACGATGCATCGTTGGTGCATCGCCGTTGCATCGCCGATGCGGCGCGATCCTCCGACCCCAACAACTCTGACAACATCAAGGAGGCCTCTACTTTCTCGCCTCGCTCGCGAGGCTCAAAAGTGTGTGTGTGTGTGTGTGTGTATGTGTGTACGTGTGTATGTGTGTGTGTGTGTGTTTGGGTGCGGGCGGGCGGGCGGGGGGGCGGGCGGGCGGGCGGGCGGGCGGGCGGGCGAGTGGGCGCGCGCGCGCGTGTGTGTGTGTGTGTGTGTGTGTGTGTTTGTTTGTTTGTTTGTGTGTGTGTGTTGGTGTGTGTGTGTGTTGGTGTGTGTTGGTGTGTGTGTGACTGTGTGTGACTGTGTTTGTGTACGTGTGTCTGTGTTGGTGTGTGTTGGTGTGTGTTGGTGTGTGTTGGTGTGTGTTGGTGTGTGTGACTGTGTGACTGTGTGTGTGTGTGCGTTTGTGTGCGTACGTGCGTGTGTGTGAGCGGGCGTGCTCCACGCCTCGTGGCATCTCCCGCCTGCGCCGCCCTTCGGGCCCCTCTGTGCCCGTGGCGGAGCGATGCTCGGCTCCTCCGCTGGCGCTCGTGCGCTTGTCGAGGCCGACCCCTCCTCCTCCTCCTCCTTCTCCTCCTCCTCCCTCCTCCTCCTCCTCCTCCTCCTCCCTCTCTGCCTCCTCCTCCTCCTCCTCCTCCTCCTCCTCCTCCTCCTCCTCCTCCTCCTCCTCCTCCTCCCCTCCTCCCCTCCTCCTCCTCCTCCTCCTTCTCCTCCCCCTCCTCCTCCTCCTCCTCCTCGAGGCCTCGGACGGCTGTCGCCCAATCGTGGACGTCAGGCCGACAGCTTGCCTACCGAGGAGGTGTGGGGAGGGCGGAAGGCTGTCCGCCGCTCGCAGCTCCAATCCAGGCCCCATGGAATGCAGATTTGACTTCCCGCGGGGATCTGAGGCCCCCCCCCCGTTCCTTGTCGCCAGTCACGTTTCTGGCATGTCGAGCATGCTGTGTTTTTTTTTGTTCTTTTCTGCGTTGCCTGCTTCACGTGTGCCAGGCGCGCAACTAGTTATGGTTTTTTGAGTTCAGCTGCGGTGGCTTGGTCTTTCCCAAGGGATTCAGAGGGAGGTGTTTTTTCCCCTTGGACTGCCTAGTCAGCCCTTGGCCTTCGATGACATCGCCGCTGGCCCTGCAAGCAACACTAATCGCATCAGTGCAGTAAATACTTCACCCGGGCAGCGTCTGCGTCCTTGCCATTCCGGTCCACCCCCACCAAATGTCTGCGCTGGCCTTGCGCCGCCGAGGCTGCCCCAGCGTGGGTGTTCGAGGGCGGGCCTGGGTTTTCCTGCTCTCGGTCCTTGCCGAGGGCCCTGAGCGCAGCCCGCTGCGCGGGCGTACGTTCAGGAGCACCGCGTCCTCGCCGCCATCTCTTGGGCCGCGCTCGGCTCCCGTGCAGGCCGCGCGCCGTGCGCCTCGAGCGCGTCGCGCAGGGGGCCGCAGGCCCGATCCGTCATCGATCTGTGGCCCGCGCTGCCGCGCCCAGACGCCGCGCCTGGTCACGCCGTCGATCTTCGGCCGATCTCGGCCACGCCCTGTGGCCCGATCGCGGCATCGATCTGTGGCCGAGCGCCGCGCTCCTGCGCAGTCCGTCTCCGGCCCGTGGCCCGCGCTGCCACGACCAGGCGCCAGCCCGTGTGTGCCCCGGGCGCCCGCCATTACCTCTGGCAGGCGCGCTGCCGCCCTGCCCCTCCCTCTGCCGCCCGCCTCCTCCCCATCCGCTCCCACGCCCACTCCCGATCTGTCTCCTCCTCCACACTCCCTGTATGCCTCCTCCTCCTCCTCCTCCTCCTCCTCTATCTCCTCCTCCTCTATCTCCTCCTCCTCTATCTCCTCCTCCGTCTCCTCCTCCTCCTCCTCTATCGCCTCCTCCGCCTCCGCCTCCTCCTCCTCCTCCTCCTCCTCCTCCTCTTCCTCCTCCTCCTCCTCCTCCTCCTCCTCCTCCTCCTCCTCCCCCACAAGCTTCAGTTACCCCTCCCCCTCCCTGTCGCCGGCCCCCCCCTTCTGGCGGGGGACGAGGAGGAGGGAGGAGGGGGCGAGGGGTGCGATGGAGGGGGGGGGCAAGGGGAAAGACTTGCGGCCCATCTCGTCTGCTTCTTGTCCCGGCCTTGCAGTGATTGTGCGTGTACTCACCGTTGCAATTTTTGGCGCAAGTGTATATCCAGTTTCCAGGAACTGTTTTGTCATCGCTTGTCGCATCCATCGCCATGGGTTCTGCGATCGGTCTCGGTGCTGACGTCCACATGCAGATCCTCGACTGGATGGTGGTGCGCCCCGACGGCGCCGCGGCCGAGCCGTCGTCGGCAGCCTCCAGACAGGCCTTCGGCTGGCTGCCTGCGCTGGTGGCCGCCTCCCGCAAGTCGCGCCCCACCGTCATCTCGGCGCTCTGCGGCGGGGTCAGCGCGAGCTCTGAGCCGCAGACGCGCGCCATCCTGGTGGAGGCCCTGGGCTGGACAGCCCCGGAGGGAGACGCCAGCGTCGTGGCGCTCCTGAACGCCTGCGCGGGCGACCCGGACGCGCTCGTGCGCGCGGCGGCGGCGGAGGCCCTCGGCCACGCGGCGACGTGCGACGACTGCACGGCGCAGGGGTCCATCTCAAGGTGCCTGGAGGACCGCGCGGAGGAGGTGGTCATGGCCGCGCTGCGGGCCCTCGGCCGGCTGGCCGCCCCCGGCGACCGCGCCGCCGTCCGCCTCATCGCGAGGTGCCTGCGCGCGGAGGCCTGGGACGTCCGCCGCGCGGCCGTCGGCGCCGTCGTCGCCGCGGCGGAGCAGGGGGACCGGGAGGCCCTGGGCGCCCTGGCCGGCGTGCTGGACGACGCCAACCGGCGGGTGCGCGAGGCCCGGCGGCGAGCGGCGGGGAGGGGGGGGCGGGGCCTCGGAGACGGCCCTTGGCTCGTGAGGTTCCAGCCTGCTTTATACAGTGCCGCTTTGAATACATGCTCCGCGTGCGGATCCTGTATTTTAAAGATGCAGGGATTTAGTTTTTAAAAGCAGCGATGAGTTCATGCATACATTCATTCATGAATTAACCATGTATTAAAGCCTGCCCTGTAAGGAATTTCGAGCACCAGGGAAGGACCGAAGCTGGCGGGGGCCACGTGCCGGGCCCTGGGAGACGATGCTCGCTCGGCACCGTTTCGATACGTTTCTGGGCGCTCGGAGTTCTTTTTGGCACGTGGTCCGTCGTGAGTGCGATGGGAGCAACGGAACCCTTGGCCTCGTCATGTGGGGCAGGATTCAGGCAGTGGCGAAGCGTCCTGGCTCGCCTGTATCCCTACCAATCGATGTTCTAACGGAACCTTCTGTGGCTTCCACGAGAGGTTCTTAGAACACTTCTGGTTGAGACTGCCTTGTTTTAACGCATCGGGTTAATGTTCTAAGAACTTCGTTTTTGTTCTTAGAACATTTCTGGGTTCGAAGAACATGTCGAGGTAGGGCTATAGGGTTGCCGGGACGGTCGGTCCCTGCTCAAAGGATGGCCGCGGGAGGTTCCCGGCGCCGTTGTCGGCTTCCTTGTGGGGCCCTCGTTGGGCCCAGTGAACTTCAGGGAGCGGCTCGGGAGGGAGGGCCAGACCGCGGAACGGGTCCAGGCTGTGAAATGATCGCGACGTCAGGTCGTCGGCGTTTTGGGGTTGAGTCGGGCGTGTCCCTCCACATGAGGAGCATTCCCACATGCGACCGGCAGGAACTCACCGGTGGGTGCTCGCTTCGCTGGTGCCTGCTCCCGGTTGCTGAGTTCCCTCTCGTGCCCTGGTCCTACCTCCCCCCAGGAGTTGGAAGTGAGTGATCGCAGGCGATTGTTCTCCCCCAATCCCTGGGTTCCGCCCGAAAAGTTTGGCCGCCCAGAAAAAAGGGAAAACCATAGGATACCCCGGGGGGCTACGAGCCTGTTTTTTGGGTTTTTTTTTTTTAATTCCTGGCCGATGACGGCCGTCATCTGGGGGGAAAGGGGGGGCTGTTGACGTCACGTTTCGCGCCGGCGGCGTCCAGGAATGCCCAGGAATGACCGAGGACCTTAGCAGCAGCATATATTCGGCGATCTGCACCACAGCGCCTGTGTACACCACAGTGCCTGCGTGCACCACAGCGCCTGTGCACCACACCACGTATGTACACCACAGCAGCCGCGTGCAGCACAGCGCCGGTGTGTGCCACAGTTCCTGCGTGCACCACAGCGCGCTTGTACACCACAGCGCCTGCGTATACCACATCAGTCGTGCGCAGCACAGCACCAGTGTACACCACAGTGCCCGAATGTACCACAGCGCCTACGTAATTACACCGCGGCGCTTGTGCACCACAGCAACCGTGTGCAACAGAGGACCATTGTTGCATATAGAATTTTAGAAGAAATCCTGATGACAAAATGGATCGCCTGTGGATTCAACAGAAAACAATTGTTTGATGCAGGATGTGGAGACGAATCCTCATGGAAAAAGGGGCGCCGCTGGAATCTACGAGTCCTCCCGAGTCCTCCCGCATCATCCTAACTCCTCAAATCTGCGTCCAGAAGGCTCCTGCAGAGTTGGCCGTCCGAGAACCAAGTGGATTGATCCAATGGACAATTCTGCGGTGCACACTGCGTACGTGCGCTGTAGCGCCGTGGAAGGGTGATGGAGGAGGACGAGGAGGAAGAGGAGGAGGAAATGGAGGAGCAGGAGGAGGAGAAGGATGATGATGATGAGGAGGAGGAGCAGGCGGAGGAAGAGGAGGAGGAGGAGGAGGAGGGAAAAACATCGCATTATATTAGCAGCACTTTCCTGGCGTGGTGTTTACCTGTCCGCAGCAGACCTATACATGCTCCTTCTACCTGTCTTGTGCACGCAGGCATTGTGGTGTACACCAGCACTGCGCACTGCGTTGCACGCGGATGCTGTGGTGAAGTTGCACAGGCGCTGTGGTGTGCACAGGCGCTGTGGTGCACACAGGGCACGGTGGTGTACACAGGCTCTGTGTTGCACATGGTTGCTCCGGTGTACATACTCGCTGTGGTGTACACAGGCGCAGTGGTGCACGCAAGCACTGTCGTGTGGTGCGTACACGCGCGCTGTGGTGCACGCGAGCACTGTGGTGAACACACGCGCTGTGGTACAGATCGCCTTCACATGCTGCTCCTACTTGGCCTCGGTCATCCCTAGGTATTTCTGGACGCCGCCGGCGCGGAACGTGACGTCATCTGGAGGGGAGGGGGCGGGGCCGATGACGGCCGCCCTCCTGGAAAAGAAGAGTACAGGCTCTATTCGGGTGCACCCCTCTCGAGGATGGGCGCCCCCCCCTCGTGCATCCCAGGGCTGGGCCTCCAATCTTTCGTCCATGTGGACACCCCCCAAAGCCTGGGATAGGGGTCGACATTTCCCCTGTTCTGTGAGGTCCCCTTGTTGTTCGTCGCTCATGTGCCCGCCCGAGGCGGCCATCGAGGGCATCGCGGAGCTGGCCTGGCGGGGAGACCGGGAGGCCCTCGCGGGGGTCTCGGCGAAGCTCTCGGACGACGTCTGGTGCGTTCGGTGCGCGGCGTTGGGCGCAGTGGCACGCCTGGCCGAGAGGGGGGACGACGCCGCGCTTCTAGCAGCGGTGGCGCAGCTGGAGGACGACTATCCGAGCGTCCGCATCTCGAAGAAGAAGAACTGCATAGCATGAAACCGGGCATATCTCCCTACAGGAGGAGTGGTCAACAATAGTAACGCACAGTCCAGTGACGATTTTTGTTTTGTGTGCCAGTGTGGGTTTCTTTGTTGAACTATTCTTTTATTCTCCTTGGAAGATCCACCTGTAGGAGGACATGCCCGACCCAAGCATAGCAACGATAGGGGGGGACAGGCATAGGGGGGGATGCATCGACCCCCCATCGCCCATTGATCGCCGAGAGGGGCCCGATGGCCCCGACCTGCGCAGGAAGGTTCAGATTCACCATCGGGGCCTATCGCCGATCTATCGGCGATGTATCGCCGATTCCAGGTCGATGCATCAGCCCTTCTGCTTAAGTCGGGCCTGTCCCCCTACAGGGGGATTTTCGACGAAAAAATTAAAATACCCCAGAAATCGTCAAACAATAATCCAAGAATAGTCAGGGGATTATTTTTTGAGTACTTTTTTGACCTTTTAGGTGTATGTTCGGGGTATTTCTATTTTTCGTCGAAGATCCTCCTGTAGGGGGACACGCCCGACTTAACCCTATGCCAGTCCCCCCCTGTCGCTGCCCCTCGAGCAGTGAGCTCCGCGAGCTCCGCGCCGACTCCTCGGACGTGCGCCCGGCCTCCCTCGGCGGCGCCCCTCTTGGCGCGCCCCGCGCGCCACGGGGAGGGAGGGGCCCAGCGCGGGCCCAGTGCGGATCATGTATCAAAAATGGCAGGGGTCTAGTATTAAAGACAACGATGAGTTCATGCATAAAATAATGTTTTCTTAAAATCCCATGTATTCAAAACTGCCCTGTAAGGGATCCGCGTGGAGCTCCGAAGGTCGATTTCGATTCTGAGCCTATGATGCTCCAGCCTGCTTTACCCTGGATCACCAGAGAATTTCGAGCACCAAGAGAGTACCGAAGTTGTAGGGTTTTCACGTGGCGGGCCCTGGGAGGCGAGGCGGTACTCGTTCGACACTGTTTCGATACTTTCTGGTAGCTCAAAATTGTTTCTGGGATGTGGTCCTTCAAAGTACGATGGGAGCAACATGATGATGAGCGGATTTTTCTACTCGCGGCCATAACGGGCGTTATGGGGCCGGGAATGGGGGGGGACGGAAGGGGGCATAACGCAGCGCCTCCCCCCCCCCTTTCCCCCCCCCTCCAGACTGGTGCCATACGCACTACGGCCGCGCTAAGGACGCATTCTCTCTCTCTCTCTCTATGCAGCTTCTTCTTCCTCCGGCATCGCCGCCTTGGAGGCGGTCGCGGAGCTGGCCCCGCGCGGGTCGCGGGAGGCCGTCCCGCGTGTGATGGCCCGGTTGCAGGACTCCTCCTCCTCCTCCTCCTCCTCCTCCTCCTCCTCCTCCTCCTCCTCCTCCCCCTCCTCCTCCTCCTCCGCCTCCTCCTCCTCCTCCCTCCTCCTCCTCCTCCTCCTCCTCCTCCTCCTCCTCCTCCTCCTCCTAGGCGCCTGTGTCCCGTCGCGAGGCCAAGGCAAGGCCCCCCTGGGGCCCCAGGACGGGCCTCACACGCCCTCGGGACCTCGCCCGGTACGAGGGCGCGTGCGCCGTGCCAGGGCCTGGGGCTCCCAAGGCCTCCCAGATGGGGTCCGGGCAGCCGGGGTCGGTGGGCCGCGCCGCACTGCTGATGCATCGACGATGTGCGGCTCGACGTGGAGGCCGATTTTCTCCGCGTCGGTGTCGCCGATGCATCGCCGACGCCGCCGCCGCCGATGCATCGGCGATGCGGAGCAGTCCTCCGGCCTCATCTGCTCGAACCCCATCTCGGAGGCCTCTGCAGGGATGGCCTTGGCCAGGCATATGGTGGTGGCGGATGGGGGTGTGCCTCCCGCGTGCGCGCAGGACCCAGACGAGGACGTCCGGGTGGAGGCCATCGAGGCGGTGGTCCGCATGTGGTGGGCTCGTTTTCCACCGCCACCCCGATAAGTAGGAGGGGGAGGGATCCTCCTCCTCCTCCTCCGCCTCCTCCTCCTCCTCGTCGTCCTCCTCCTCCTCCTCGTCGTCCTCCTCCTCCTCCACCTCCTTCCCTCCTCCAGCTTCTGGTGGTGGTGGTGGCAAACGGGCCCACCACCGCATGGTCCCGAGCGGCGACGAGGTGGCCTTCGCGGCGCTGGCGCTCCAGGCGCGGGAGGACGAGAGCGCCAGCGTGCGCGACGCTGCGGGGAGCGCGGCGCAGCGCATCTGAGCCGGCGACGTGCAGCCGCGCCGTCGGGGAGGTCCTCCGCGCCCGCGCCCTGCGCCGGTTGCGCTCCCTCACCCCCTTCCCTCCATCCCCTTCCTGATCCTCCTCCTCCTCCTCCTCCTCCTCCTCCTCCTCCTCCTCCTCCTCCTCTTTATCCGTCTTCCTCCTCTTTATCCGTCCTCCTCCTTTTTATCTCTACCCTTCCTCCTCCTCCTCCTCCTCCTCCTCCTCATCATCATCATCCTCCTCTTCCTCTTTCTCCCCGTCCGCCCTCCTTCCTGCCTCGCGGGGCCCTCTGGGGCGCAGCTCGTGGCCTCATCGTCCCGTCGGAGGCGAAGCGGCGCGCGCCGCATCGTTGGTTCTCCGGCGGTTTTGGGGCGAGTTGGGCTTCTCGCGGGGCGCAAAGTGGGTGGTGACCACACCGTGCGGTGAGTCCGTGGGGATTCGGGGTCACCGCACGGTTTTGGGACGCGAGGCTTTCTCCGTGGACGTCCCGGGCGGCTGGGGCCTCCTGGGTTCCAAAGCCGTGCGTTGACGGACCGTGCGGCGAGATCTTGTTCGATTTCGAGGTCACCGCACGGTCTGTCACCGCACCGTTTCGGGACTTCCAAAGGTAGCAATGTCGCCAGAGGCTGTCCTGCAGCAGCCCACGCTAGCCATTCCGGGCCCGGCAGGGCCGTCTACCACCTCGCGGCCCAACACCCCACATCCCCAGGGGAGGGGGGAGGGGAAGGGGTCCAGCCTCCAGCGGGAACGCCGTAAGCTGTCTCGTTCACTCCCACCCGCCCTCCCAATGCATGAGCACCACCCGCCTTTTGGGCCAGTAGGCTCGATGCTCGGCACGGTCCTCTCGGCCATGCTTCACAGTGCCCTGTCCGAGAGAGCCGTTGCGTTTTTGCACACTCGCGATGCGCAGGCGGAAGGTCCAGATGTCAGCATGGGCGGGGGCCGCCATCGACAACCGGCGGGAACCAATGCAACGGAGCCAGCCGCGTGCGCGACGCCCGCGGTGTGCGCCGCAGAGGCCAGGTGCGCCACGCGCGCCGGGTGCGCGCCCCACTGGGCAATCTGTCGAACCTCCCACCGCCCCCGTCAAACACCCGTGCACTTGGCATCGCTCGGACGTGTGCATTTTTCCTTCGGCGAGGGCCATCGAGGAGCATCCTTGATCATTTGGCGAAAAAGCCACGCATGAAACCGAAAAAAACACAGGGAATGGACGTCCGAGCGATGGCGAGGTGCACGACGACAGCGGGAGGGGCCGGCATGGTGTATTCTCTGTGTGTGCGCGCAAACCACTGGTACAGTCAAGACGCCGAAGTAGGGAACAGTCTGGGTTCGGAAGGGGCTCGATGTTCCTTGGGTTCCTCCAGTGCTGTTCCTCTTGCCCTCCTGGGGCACGGAGGCGCTTACAGGGCCAAGAAGGGGCTTCGTTCCTTATTTAGCGTTTCTTCTTTCAGCGGCACGACTGTATGGTGGTGGGATGGCGGGATGGTGTGGGCATGCACGCAGCAGGCAAGGTGCCGCCCCCCCCCCCCGCGGTTCCTGTCCAGAGCCAATGTCTAGCGATGGCGGGGCGCCCGCGCATGATGCAGATGTTGGTGCACAGTGCGCTTCGTAGGTTCGGTTGCAAGGGGAGGGTGGGGCTGGCGGCGTTGCGCACAGCAGGCAACTCGCCGGCCCCCCCCCCCGCCGTCCCCGTCAGGAGCCGGCGTGGAGTGATCGCGGGGCGCCCCGCGCACGAGTTGGACTCTGGTGCAACGTGCCCTTTGCATTTTAACGGGCGAAGAACGGTATAAAATAAACTTTTTCGCTGTCGGGGGCGCCGTAAGGGTATAAACTTTCCAGCCGCCCAGGGGCAGGTGTCCCCGACGGCCAAAAAGTTTATTTTATACCGTTCTTCGCCCGTTAAGCATTGCCTGTTTGCGAGGTGCTGGGGACGGCGGGGGGCGGTGGCACTGCGAGCAGCCGGCGCTGTGCCGGCCGGCCCCGCCCCCCCGCCGTCCCTGGCAGCATGCCGTGCGAGGTGAGCGCGGGGCGCCCGCGCCCAGTCCAGTTTTTGGTGCCGCGTGCCTTGCTGTTTTCCGGGAGGGGCACAAAACACACAGGCTTAAGGAACCGTCGACTCCCCAGAGAACATGGGAAAGTACTCCAGATTTCGTAATAAAGGGAGGGGGGTCTCATTTCGGGGGGGGTCTCTTCCAGGCTATCTTGGAGGGCCTGGGGGGTCTGGGGACGATGTTTTGGAGGGTTCTCCCACGGGGGGGGGGGTCTGAAATGGCTTGTCTTGGAGGGTCCAGACCCCCTCCCTTTTATTACGAAGTCTGGAGTAATCGTCGACTCCCCAGAGAGCATGGGAAGGTATGGGAAGCGGGGGGGAAGACGAACATCCAAAAACCAGAGCAAACATATGGGGAATCCTGTGATTTGTGTGTCCCAGGGCTCTGGGCCCCTTCGGTATTGCATGATACAAGAGATGATGGGGCAGGTTCGACAGTGTCCCTGGTTTGTCGTCGTTCGGGTGAGGGAGGGGGTGTTCCTTGATAAGTGCCAGTGGACAATGAGCAAGACACTTCTCCCAGACGCAAACCGATTAGCTTACTCCCACCCGCCCTCGGGACCAGTACGGATTCCAGGTGCGCGACGCTGGGGCGAGGTGCGCCGCGCGCACCAGGCGTGCCAGGCGCCCCTGGGGCCACAGCGTGTCAGGTCGGCCTGGCGCGACAGATGCACAACGTGCTCCACGTGCTCCGAGTGTGCCGCCTGCACCAGCCGTGCCAGGTGCGCCACGTTGGGGGAACGTGCAGAGTGTGCCAGGTGCGCCCGCGCACATCGGGAAGCATGTCGGCCCCCCACCATCCTGGAACCATCCTTGCCGCGTATCTATACACAAGCGTGGCGGGGTGGCCATCATGGTGTCTGGAGGGCCCGCGCCCAGCAGGCACTACGCAAGCGCCCCCGCCGTCCGTGTCAAAAACCACTGCAACGTGATCGCGGGGTGCCCGCGCATGATCCAGATTTTGTCGCGAAGTGCAGTTCGCATGTTTTTTTGACCTGCGTGCAGCTGGCAATATGTTGCCCCCCTCCCCTGTCTCCGTCAGAAAGCAACACGAAGTGCTCGCGCCCCCACCGACGCTGACCCAAGATTTTGCAGCAACATGCACTCTGCTTTCTTTTTTGACAGGGATGGCGGGGGGGCCCTCACTGCCCTGGGTCTGTCGCCTGTCGGGTGGTCAATTCAGACGCAGCATCCGAGCCTGGGGCCCCGACCCCACTGAGTTTGTGAATCCCGTCGGAAGCACAGAGCAGACGATATGAGGGCAGTGGTCGAGCTACCCCAAGCCGCAAGCCGCACTCCGACCCGCCCTCCCAACACAGAAGCAGCAACCGAGCCTGGGGTCCCGATCCCACTGAGTTCGTGAATCGACGATATGTGTGAGGGCACCTCAGCCGGCTCTGCCAGACATAAATACGTAGCCTTTTGCAGTTGCGGATAAGCGTGAGGGGGCGGGCGCGGGTTGGGTCGCGGGTGGGTCGCGGGTGGGTCGCGGGTGGATCGCGGGGTGGGTTGCGTGTGGGTCGCAGGTGGGTCGCAGGTGGGTCGCAGGTTGGTCGCGGGTGGGTCGCATGTGGGTCGCACGTGGGTCGCGGGTGGGTCGCAGGCGGGTGGTTGTCGCGGGTGGGTCGCGAGTGGGACGACGACAACAGCAAGCAACAATGATAACACACATGTTTGTATTGTTCTTTATCCTTGGCTCGCGTGCCATCCAAAATGAAAATACCGAACCCTTGATAGCCGCCCTCTTCGTCTTGGATCGTACCCCCCTTGGGGGTATATCGTCCCCACCTTCCACGTATAGTTCGCGCACCGCCTAAAGCAGGGGAAGGGAGGTGTGAGGGAGGAGACACGGGGGAGGGAGAAGGATGGAACACGAGAGAGATTTGCGGGAGGAGGGTTAGGAGCAGAAGTATAAGAAGTATAAGCGGCAGAACCAGACGGCCGGGTCGGGCGGGCGGACCCTAACGGGCAGGTCGGCGGGCGGGCCCAGACGGCCAGCTCGACCGGGCGGGTCGCTGAAGCGTCCTGAGTTTCGAGCGATGGCGCGGTTCCCAAGTAAATCGTGTGGAAATCCAATGCGAGAGCATGATTCTTGAGTGTTGGGGGCACGGCGCCGCAATAAATTGCTAGGAACTTCCACGCGAGAGCGCGATCTCTGCAAAGCTTATGAGGAAGTCCCGCGCGAGAGTGCGATATTTCAACACATTGTGAGGAAGTATCCGGCGGGAGCCGCTGGGGGCCAAGAACACAGCTTGGTGACACCAGATTTTCCCTGCTGAACAACAGGGTGCGAGCCCCCGGAGGGGCATTTCAACTGAAGAAATAAAATGATCACTGCAGGGGATGATCAACAATGATTCTCCAAAAGAAATCCGCACCGCGAAACCCCACTTCAGCCACACACCCACAGTGAATGACCGTCCGGCCCCCTCACTCTGACAGGGTGACCGCGGTTCCCTGCGCAAGATCCGGATGTTGCCGCAAAGTGCACTCTGCATGGTTTTTGTCGGGGATCGCGAGCCTGCGCAGAGCAGGCAACATGAGGGCACCCCGCCGCCGCCCCCTCTGCCGAAAACCAATGCAAAATGATCGCTGGGCACCCGCGCAAGCTCTTGCCACACAGTTTGAAAGGAGTGGAGGGGTCTGCAGTGCTCACGAGGTGCCCACGCGCGGTGCAGACTTTTGCCACACACTGTGTCTTGCATGGTTCAGGAGGAAAAGAAACACGCAGACACAAGTAATCGTCGATTCCCCCGGAAAATGCTGGAAAATATGGGAAGTGGGGGGGAAGATAAAACCACAGAAAATATGGAAACATATGGGGAACAGGTATTTATTTGTGTGTCCCAGGGCCCCTTCAATGGTGTCTGACAGGGGATGATAGGCTTGCACAGAGCGGATAATATGAGGGCACCCCCAGCGTCCTTGTCAATTTGATCGGCCCACGAACCCCGAAAGGGATGTGGAAACGTGAGGCACGGCAGCGTTGTCAAGACACCTGATTGGGCGACGGACAAGTGCGATGCTGAGTGCATCGATCTTGGTGTACCGTGCCCAGGGCTGTGCTGTGCTATGCCGTGCTGAACTGCGATGCGCCCTGCCGCGATTGTGCTCTATAGCGTTGTGGATCGAGTCCTCCTTGGCATTCGAGTCCTGACCGACTTGATCTGGATCTTAAGCTCAAGCTGCATGAGCACGTAGTTGCCGCCCTGGAGCAAGTTGAAGTGGAAATGGTGAGGACGTTCAATCAACTCGACCTGAAAATCCGATTCAGCTCCAGATAGGAACGACCCGACACGGGGCACAGGCTCACGGACGTGACACAGGATGTGCCAGGGGCGCAATCGGGGATGCGCCAGGGGATGTGTCAGGGGACGCATCAGGGAACGTGTTTTGGACGTGTCAGGGACCTGCCACGGGACATGCCGAAGCGCGTGCCATGGGGCGACCAGAGGACGTCATGCCAAGGGACGCTGCAAGGGGCCCGCCACGGAACGGGCAGGGGAAACGCCTGGGGACGAGCAAGGAAACGCGACCGAGGACGAGCCAGGGAACGTGACCTGGGCACGTGAAAACAAGCGTTTCGCACAACACATCCGACCTGGTCACGTGAAACCGAGCGTCTCGCTCGAGACATCCTCAACCAATCCTGATGTTAGACATCCGCATGGGCGACCTGGACACGAGAAAACAAGCGTTTCGCTCAACACATCCTCAACACATCCTCATACTAGACATCCGCCTGGGCGACCTGGACACGCGAAAACAAGCGTCTCGTTCGAGACATCCTCAACACATCTTCATGCTAGACATCTGCCTGGACGACCTGGACGCGTGAACAAGCGTCTTGCTCGAGATGTCCTCAACAAATCCTGATGCTAGACATATGCCTGGGCAACCTGGAGGCGTGAAACCAGGCGTCGCGCTCGAGACATCCTCAATACCTGGGCACGTAAAAACAAGCAGTTCACCTGAGACATTCTCTGAGTTCTGGTCCCCAGGACAGGAACGATCTATAGCGTGCACTTCGCTTTGTTTATGACATGGATGGTATGCCTGCACACGCGAGGCAACATGCTACTCCCCTCGCGGTATCAGACAACAATGTAGAGCGATCGCGGGGCGCAAGGAGAGTGCACCGATTTTGCCACACGCTGCGCTTTCCCCGAGCAGTGCTTGCACTTGGGGGCTCCCGGTGTTGGCTCCCTCACAGTGAATTGGCTGGGCGTGCCGGGCCTTCGCCTGGTGCCCGGTTGGTGGGCGCCTCAGGCCTCGTGTCAAGCAGTGGCGAAGCGTCCCGGCTCGCTTATAGTCCCACCAAGCAGTGTTCTAAGGACTTCTTGTGGTTTCCACGAAATGTTCTGAGAACGTTTCTGGCTGGGACTGTCTTGTTTTAACGCATCGGGTTTATGTTCTAAGAGCATCGTTTTTGTTCTTGGGATACTGTCGGGTTCTAGGAACGTGTCGTGGTAGGCCTCTAGAAGTGCCGGGACGGTCGGTCCCTGCTCAATCGTGAGCTCCACGTGGGCGCTTCGTGCGCTACAGGCTCGGCGTGCCGAGGCTTCGCCCGGTGCCCGCCCACGGGCGCCGCGTGGTCGCCCCCGTGGGCCCCGGCGTGCGCGGGGCTGGCGTGCCGAGGGGTCGCCCGCTGTGTGCCCGACCGTCCTTCAAGC